TTACTATACTTGTGGGGACAAACAGGCCTCGTGGGTCCTCACGAGTTTGAAGCATTTTTGAGACTCAAAATGTGGTTTTAGTGTCAGGGTCACAACTAGGTTACGGTTAGGTTTGGGGTCAGGTATTCATTTTTAATGGTTAGGTGCTAGGGAAACCATTATGTCAATGAAGGTCCTCACTAAGATAGTTGAACGGGGTTGTGTGTGTGTGTGTGTCAGTACTCTGAGCAGGCTGCGAGGCGCTCGGCTCCGACAGCTCCCTCTCGGTTTGAGTCTCAGCGTTTTGCAGCTGGATGATTGGCGTCTGGGTTCCTTGCGATGTCACTGAAGGGGTGGGGTGTCGGGGCTGCAGGCCAATGGCGTTCATCAGTCCCATGTCTCTGCCCGGCGTCCAGCCCGAGCGGTTCGGCCTGAAAATGAATCACAGGCCAATCAGAAACTCAAAGATCCAGACACGTAGTGATAAACTCTCACCAGCAGGGGGCAGCGATCGATGGAGAGGTGTGAGGAGACTGAGCTGTGTGCGTTTCTTTTTAGCCCCGCCTCCACGCCGTTCTTACCTGGTTCAGTTTCTGCCGAAGCTTTGAATCCATTTTCAAACAAATGTACAAAATGCAGCTTTAACCCTTCAAAGCCCAGCGTATCGTATGTGTTTCTGTGAGCTTTCAGGCTTCGTCATCATCAGTGTGACTTCTTTACTCTCAAAATAAATGATATCAAAGTTTTTAATGACTAAATTGCAAAAATATGGTTATGTAACAAATTAGAATGCCTACATGCAGATTTGATATGTTTTATATACTTTGTCTCAAGGTTCAAACACTCCACAACGTGAAGATTTCACGTTTCAGGTTTTAAAGGGTCAAATAACCCGAGCGCCCGTCACCTGCGACGCCGACCACGCGTTACGAGCAGATAAAAAGCAGGCGCAAACATCGCCGCAGGCCCTGAACTCACCCCGGCCTGTCGGAGCCTCGGCTCCGGCTCGTTCCGCTGTTGTTGACGCTGAACAGTGGCTCGCTGCTCGACTCGCTGGGGCTCTCGCCGTCGCTTCGATAGAACCTACACACACACACACACACACAAAACCAAAGCTGGTCAGTTCACTTCCACTCAGGAAGCCTCACGGGGGGGCGGGGCTTCGTGGACACACACAACCGCATTAAACACACTAATCGGGCTCTTCCAGTTAATGGTCTTCCTGCTCGGTTTGAGGATAATCAGATCAGAAGACGGGAGGGCGCTCTGAGAGCAGGACAGCTGAACGCGTGCTCGGTTATTTAACGTCACGCTCAGTCTGCAGCTTCTCATTCGCACAGTCAGCTGCAGAAGCCTGAATCTGCACGCCGACCTCCATCCCCGACCAGCGTTTTTGAGTCTGAGATGTCTGATTTAGCAGGACTTTGTTTTCGTGCCTGCAGACTCACACAGGCCGGCAGATCACCAGGTCTCCCTTGTTGGTTCCGTAAGCCAGTCCCATCCCTGGATCCGGCAGCCAGCGAGCAGAGTTGATGCTGACGTGGCGCCTCTGGTCCGGAGCCATGGGGTAGACCACGTTGAACACCATCTGAAACACAGACGCACTGCAGCTGAAGCACATGTCACAGCAAAGCTGCGTAAAACCAGCTTTTCCCAAACGACGGGATGTGGAGCTCGTCCTGGATCCGAGCTCACCGCTCACTTTTGTTTTCTGGAACGTGGACTCTGCAGCGCGGGGAGCGTCCCATTCTCTGTGCTCAACTTTAGAGAATGTTCTCCTGAAAATAACGAAACACTGGCAGTGGGTGGTACTACTTGCTATTCAGGATTTTTTAAAAAGTTGACCTCTGACTAGGGCTGGGCGATATGGCCTAAAATCCATATCGCGATATAATTTGAAGCATGTGTGGTAACGATATATATCACGATATATTCTTTTCTTCTGTATAATGTATTTTCCACACTATAAAGCTTAAAATCCTTTAATTTTCTCAAAAATCGAGAGTGTGCCTCATGTATGAATTCTGGTTGTGCTTACTGACCTCGAACCGATTTG